CCAAAATCCATAAATTAATCTTTGAAAATATACTCTACCAAGCATTTCAGATGCTTATAGAACTTCTAGGTAGCATTAGGTGTTTGAGTGAATTGGAATTGTTAGAAACTATATGCTGATTCTCTCTCTCTCTCTATTTATTTATCTATTTATCTATTTATGCATGCATGTTTACAAGAGCTGAGGTGCAGGCAAGAGAAGGAAGGAGTGAGAGGATTCACTAGAGACAGAGTGGGGACAGATCTGCTGTAATAAAATGCTGAGGGGAGCAGTTGGTGAGACCAGAGAGGTCTGCGTGCCATGTGGGTTAGTCCCCTGGCCAGGGATGGAACTCCTTCTGGAGTGGTTGCGGATAGCTTCCTAGTGCTGCATCCAAACTGCTTGTGCCACTAGGGAGGCCCCCTGATTCTCTTTTCAGTGAAATTTTGTCTTGTTCATTCTGGATCTTTTTTTGCATTAATTATTAAAGATACTGCATCACAATTTATCTTAATTATGACTTTTGTAACCCCCTTTTAAATTTTGCCTCATTCATTGTTACCCTTGTTCTGACCCCAGGTGGTTTGAAGTCCTGTGACATGTCAGGATTGTGGACTTTCATAAGGAACAACATATTCAGCCCTCTGCTTTTTCCTATTTGTCTTTCCTTACCTTTGAAGATGTTTTTTATTGTTTCTTGTTGGTGTCGCTTTCTCATGAAGCATGGTGACTCCCAAATGCATATTTCATTTTTTATGGGTCAGCTAAAATGTCACCCTAAACAAGCTCTCAACCAATTTCTGATTTATTGAGTATCTCAGGCACTGTACTAGTCACTGGTGAGCAAAGCAAGACAAGATCCATACCCACATGGTGCTCATATCACCTTTTTTAGTCCTTTTTCCGCAGTGTCTCTTAGTCATTTTTCCAATACCCTCACCCAAAGAATCTGTCATTAGTTGTTTAAAACTATACCTAAAAACTAGTTCTCTTTTGAGAGTTTCCCCACTTAAAGGTTACTATTTCTGTTGTTATTATTACCAAGAAATAAAGCCATGAAATTTTCTCTGTTCACTTCTACTTAAGTCATCCTCTTCATTCTCAGTTCTTCCTTTGTAGTGAATCCTTTTCCATTGTTCATCAGATTATGTATGGATTGCTGCTGTAGTCTGGCTTCTCAGGTTAATTTTCCCAAGGATAGACATTTTTATACATTTCCACATTGCTTGGGATCATTGGTTACCTGTTTGTAACAGATGAAATAATAACTAAACCTGTTGGGCTTTGTGGTGCAGTGGGTTAAAGCACAGCACTAAGAAGCTAAAGGCACTTCAGCATGAGTTAGATCCCGGCCTGCCCTGGAGGTCATCCGCTTGACAAGGCAGACCTCTCCTGGCCCAGCCACTGCTCCCCTCTTAGCAGTGTACTTTGTTGATCTCCCTGTTCTGCACCCCACTCTGTCTCTCGTGAATCTTCTCACTGCCCCTGCACCTCTGGCTTGTACCCCAGTTCTGTATGCATAAATAAATCTTTAAAAAAAATTAAGCCTGTCCCCACATCCCTTTACTCAAATCCTTTGCACAAGCATTGTTTTTCTGTTTTCTGAGTGTTGTGTTTTTTCTTACATATTTTCCTCTCATTAAATATCCTCTTAATTTTCTTTTTCTTAACTTTCTGGAATTACAGAGCTCCCCCCTGCTTTTTTATTTTTGAGCGACTATTAAGCTGGCATTGGTATACAGCATATGTAGCAGATTCAACAATTTCATGTATATTTAGACATTCTCTCCCCCTGTTAATCCTTGTGCTGCTTTAAAAGTCAGATCTGACTGAGAATGTAGAGATAGGATCATTTGATATAGGTTAAAAAGGCAATGGCCAATAAAAAGCTGCCTCTCCTAAAATAGCCACTTACCATTTGTTTTGTTAGGAATTTTCTTGTCAGTTTCATATTAAATATATGTCACATTTCTGCCATCTTTTCCAATGACATGCTAGTCATTAAGTTTTAATTTTCCCATGCTTGCAAAGAATTACACATTTTTTTGTAGTATGTTTCCTTGCTTTGTTTAAATTTGCTAAATTTTAGTTTTGTTACTTTTATAGTTTTCTACTTTTTACATTGTGTTAGTTCCTCTTACTATTAAAGAGCTGATCCATGGAGGCAGTGTTGTTGACTGTGCATGGTAAGGAGGCAGGAGGGTGTGCTGATGGCTTACATTCTTGAGGCAGTCCTTTAAGAGTGTGGGGTCTCAACTGTCTCAGTCTGTAAGTAAGGGTTTCAAGTAAATGACCTTTAAAATTTTTTCTAAGTCTAAATTTTTATCGGTCATATAGACACCCTGTTCTTAGTAGCATGAAACAAAATTTTGTTGTGTTTTTCTTTTTGCAGTGCATGTTTGGATCCAGTGTTGTTTTCATAACAAAGGTCCATTAGTTGTCTATAACAAGTAAAAAGAATAAAATTAATCTAGCTGCTTTTTTTTTTTTCTTTTTAAGGTATTTTCAAAAGAAATAATTCCAGATTGATGGATGAAATTTTAAAACAGCAGCAAGAACTTTTGGGCTTAGATTGTTCCAAATACTCACCACAGTTTGCAAATAGTAATGACAAAGATGATCAAGGTAAGCTCCAAAATAAAATTACAGATAGGTTTGTGTTTCAAGGCAAATTCTGCCACTCCTTTATTCATTTTGCCTGTTAGTCTTTATTGTCACCATCTTTAAATCATCAGATTTAGGCTTTTCTTTTTTCATCTTATTAAAAGATGATTTTCAGAAAAAGATAAAATCATGTCTCATAGATATTAAAAAATGAACATGTTAAACATTTTATTCAATTCATAATCAACCAGGAGCTAAGCAGATTTTATAATAGGTTCAAAAGTGTATCCAGAGAACAAATACAGTTTTTATATAGGCCAGAAATAATTGAAATGAATATGTAAATAGGATTAAAACTGGTTATTCTATGGGTTAGATGGAAGATAATTGAACCTCTATGTGGCAAGAAGTAATTAACATGTCTATAGATAAGAAATTGGCATTGGTGTGAATTACCTAGAATGCTATCAATTATAAAATAACTCTCATTGGAATCAGTTTGATAAGGGAAACTGTAGACAGTGCATATATACCATTGAAACATTTTTTCCCCCTACAATTTTCATTTTTGTTGTCTTGATTGTGTTTTTACTACTATGAATGTAGGTGGCATTTTAGACTAGTGGAAATTGTAAGTTAGCCTATAATTAAAATTCCTATTTTCTAGAGCACTTATTCGCAGATACAAGGTCTCTGAGCACTTTGAAGAACAGAATATAAATATATACATGTGTGTGGGTCCTTTCTGAAGGGAATAACTATGTTTTGATATTGAATTTGAAGGGTTTAAATAATTCTTGTTTAATATAGGAAGTGTACCTTTATTTTGGTCTGAATTTAATATTTCTTGAAACTGATTTGAAAACTATCCAGACAGGTTGTTTTTTACAAAAATAAATTTGTTTTTCTTCCAGTTTTAAATTGCCAATCGGCTGTGAAGGTGCTGTCCCCTGAAGATGGAAAAGCAGATATTGTGAGAGCTGCTCAAGACTTTTGCCAGTTAGTAGCCCAGCAGCAAAAGAGACCCACAGATTTGGATGTAGATATGTTAGACAGTTTACTTAGTAAGTCTATATATATATGTATATTACCTTTTTAGTTTTATTCCACAAGGATACAGCATGGAGGAGGATGTCTAGGTTTTTTCATAGTGTAAAGTTTGGTTGTGATTGTTGTTTTACTTGTAATGTTTCTAAAATTTTAAATACCCACATTTGAAAATGATTTTGAGATAGTGAGACTTGTTATAGTCAAGCCACTTGCTTGAGAATTTACTGATAAAGGACAGACTGGTTAGAGAGGGCTTTTGGGGGCAGTGATGGGTAATTTTGAAAATAAGGGGTCTTCTTGTCAGCCTTCCTCCTTCTGGGATGTTTTCCTTTATTGACAGTGAATTCTCAATTATCCAGACACCAGCTGTGTGTCCAACAGTTCAACTTGGATATTAAGCATCTGGAGCTAGAGTTTGGTATTAAGGGCTTAGTCATACAAGACTGCTCCTTCTTCAGAGGCCAGTTGCAGTTGCTGGGCCATTTGAACTTTTGATCAGTTGCCTCTAACTAGAGGAGTCCCTCAACTCCCACCTAAGTCCTAATAATTTACTTCTGTTACTTTACATGAACATTTATTATATTTCTCATGATATACAAAGTAAAATTATATATACACCTACATGTATATACACCTACATGTATATACACCTACATGTATACACACACACACACATAATTCCTTCAACTGTTTATAAAGTCTTTATTTTGCTTGTTCTCTCTAGATGCCTCTAGGAACATTTTGACTTAACTTTATGATCCTTCTGCTTACTAGCCTTTATCCTAGATCATTTTGAAGAAAAGCAATACTTCTAACAAATTCATGTCCTTTGATAGTTTCTGTGGTCATACAATTTCAGAAATATATTTTTCCTTTATTCACTAAAACTCCATTTACCTTACTTACTACTCATGAATTTTCTGACTCAATCATTTAACTCTCCATTCTTTGTTTCTTCCACTTTGACACATGTCCATTACAGAGCACAATCACTCTCTGACCTCTTGATTTTACTAATTCCTTACTCTCGTTGATTACTTACCTCTCCTCCACTTTCTTCATCTATGTTATTGCTTCTCTGTGTTCAGGCTGAATGAATGAACCATTGTAGGGTTTTTTGTTTGTTTGTTTGTTTGTTTGTTTTGGTGAAAGGTCTTACTTAAATTTCTGTATTCTATAAGGCACAGCCAGAAAAAATACATGAGAATGTCCTAAAAGCGATGGGGGAACCCAAGGTAGGCTATGGAGAAGTGCTCAAGTGTTGAACTTAGGCATTGCTTTCAGGGATATAGACCCAGGATAAAGGAAAGTGTACATAGTCCTTAAAACTGATTAATTAATTTAGAGGGAGAAAACCTTCTGGATATTATTATCCGCAAGCGTTCTTTTGTGACTGCAGTTAATCCCCACCTCTGTTCCCAACACAAGGCAACTGCTGATCGGCTTTCTGCTATATTTTTGTCTTTTCTAGATATTTGACATAAGTGGAATCGCATAGTACAGTCTACTGTGGCTTGCTTTGTTGCTCATTTTTTTTGGGGGGGGGTTAACCCATATTGTATGTCTTACTTCTTAATTACTTTTGTTTATATTAAATAGTGTTCTATTTTATGAATATACCACTTTTAATTTATCCATCAGTTAAGTTGTTTGACTTGTTAGAATAATGCTGTTATCACCATTCACATACAAGTCTTTATGTGGACATATTTTTCTTTCCATTGAGTCGTTGACTAATAGTGGGATGCTAGAGCATGTGGTGAGTGAACATTTACCTTTTAAGAAACTGCCAGAGTTTTCCAGGGAGGCCATACCATTTTATATTCCTTGCCAAGAAACAGTTTTATCGGTTGTTTTTTTCTTTTAATATTTTTTTTTAAAAGATTTATTTATTTGTACATACAGAACTGGGGTACAGGCCAGAAGCTCAGGGGAGGCGAGAGGCTTCACCAGAGACAGAGTGGGGAACAGAACAGGCAGACTGACGAGGTACACTGCTGAGGGGAGCAGCGGGTGGGTCAGGAGAGGTCTGCTACGCCATGTGGTCATCTCCAGGGCAGGCGGGAATCGAACTCATGCGGAAGTGGCTTTAGATTTTCAGTGCTGTGCTTTAACCCGCTGCGCCACCAGGGAGGGCCTCTTTTAATATTTTAACCATCCTGTGGGTATGAAATTGATATTTTAATTCATATTTTCCTAGCGGAGTGTTTTTCACATGCTATCTTGTCATCCACATTGTTTCTGTTTTAAGTGTCAGTTCAAATAATCTGCCTGTTTTGAATGGGTTTCTAGTCTAATTATGGAGTTCTTAAGAGGTCTTCATATATTGTGGGTCTTTGTAGCTTAATGTGTCAACCTATGATTTGCACACTGGCTGTACTTGTACATTCTAGAATTTCTAAGACTTCAGTGATTGTTTTGTGATGATGGAGAGTGCACTCAAAGTTGCCACCAGTTTACAAGTCTTCTGAAGTTTTACTTTCACTTGGTTTTCATATCGCCTCATGTGCCCCCTCTCCCCTGCTTGCGTACTGTTTTGCAATCAGTTATGGATCTGTGAACGTTTTATCTGAGTTCTTATTTCTAGCTCCCCCTCTTAAATTTCCAGCCATTGTGCTGTGTGCTCTGACTAGGGTTATACCTCAGGCTAACAAGGCTGTGGGTTTTCCTCATCCTTTCTTTTGAGTCTGCCACTTTTAGCTGGCAAAATCATAGACATCTACCTGCCCCCTTTCTCCTGTCCACCACCTCCAATTCCAAATCGAGTTCATATCTTCCGGCTACAACCAGCATATTTGTACAACTGCGGCGATGATCAATTGGTTGGTAGTAGAAGATTGGGGGTTAGAGTATTCGCGGGCAGCAAGGTCAAATACTTTTACCATCTTTACTTAAAGTGCTAGCTGTTTTTTAAGAATTGTGTCTGTTCTTGGTTAGTATCTAATTCATTCAAACGATTGGTTTTGTCTAGTTTAATACATGATTTTTTGGATAGAATTAGGCACTTTTCCCAACCACTGTTAGGCAGAAGTCCCTTTTGTCTAAGACAATTTATTTTCTTAGCAGGCAGAGTAATCTGTTCTTCTACTTAGCCCTTCTATGAATGTGGATCTTGAAAAGGACTTTGTTAAAAAAGTGATTATAGCTGCTAGAAAGTGCTGTCTAAACCACTCTCTTTATTTAGCAAATGAAGGATCTAAGCCCCAAAGAGGTTATGTGACTAGGTTTGTGGCAGAACTGTGAGCATATTTGAAACTGTTGGATTATAGTATTTTCTTTCTAATACTTGTGACTCTTCAGACTTATTTTACTTTACTTTTAAGCAGGTGAAATATCTTTAACCCTCCCCCCCCCCCCCAGCCACCTTTTTTTCCCTCAAGCTAGATATCCTTTGGAAACCAGTTTTTTTTTAAAATGACCATGCCTTTGTTGAGACAGATATATGCCTTCTTTCCTCTCTTAGGGGATGGGCCTCTGGGGATACTGAAATCATTTGTCCTGGATAACTGTGTAGTTGTTGTCCTGGGTCCTTAGTGATATATGAGGAATGGGAAAGGAGAATGGATTTTTTAAGTTCCCTTTCATCTCAGAAATTCTTTGATTGTGTGGTGAGAATAAGCATTTATACCCCCAAAAAGCAGTGTAGTTCCTAAGATGCCTGAGAACACTTGGTCTTAAAGACAGATGGGATTTGGGGGCTACTTGTAGGATTTAAGGTGGGAATTATCCCTCCTTAACAGGTAACCAGTCTAGTTAAATGGTTTTCAGAGAATGTTCATATTTCCAAATTACAAAGATAGTAATGTACATTTGACAGTGGTTGGAGGTTTGGAAATAGACAAGTGAAATGTTTGAGAAATCATAAAGCATAAGAAGCCAACTTGATTAGCACAGTTTGTTCTTAGTCATTTTATTGGTATTCAGTGCACATTGATCTCTTGTATATTCTTCCTTTTTAAGGTTCAAATGGCTTCCCTGATCCTGATTTAGTCTTGAAGTTTGGTCCTGTGGACAGCACATTAGGCTTTCTTCCCTGGCAGATCAGATTGACTGAGATTATGTAAGTAATTAAAAGTATATTCACTTTGGTGTGATTCAGTAGTTGTTTCTTGAGCTCAGCCCTACACTAGATACAATGGGAGTTATACTACTGAATTCTTTCTCTCAGGGATTTCATAATATCATTGATAAGATAAATGCCAGAGACTTCAAAGTGTGTAGTTATACAAACGCTTGATAAGGACTTAGTGGTTAGGAGTGAGAGATACATCTATAGGTCAGAGATGTTGATTCTAGAGATGGTTAGGGGCATGTAAAATAGGTAGAACTTTTGTCATTAGAGAAAAGTTGGTAAGTGTGAGGGTTGGAGGGGGGAGTGGAAAAAAAACTGGGAAGTTGGTAAAAAGCATCACATTTTAAAGAAATGACCCTACCAGAGCAGATACTGTTAGATAGTAGATAAGATGAACTCAAACAGTGTGGGGATGTTGACAATAGGAAGGCTTCAAATGGTATATAAGGAGCTTGTGTAGTTTGCTTAAACAGGCTTTAGAGTAATATAGGTATGGTGATTCTGAAGGATTTGTTTGGTAACTGTGTACTAGGATAGATTAGGTTTGGGAAAGAATGAGGTTAGAAAGAGAAGTGAAGAGGCTTTAGCTGTAATTTATGGGAGAATTCAGTGAGGAGAATTAAACTGCTTACTTAGAGTCTGGCAGATTTTTGTGTAAAGGACCAGATGGTAAATATTTACATCTTGTAGGCCATACAGTCTCTTACAAGCTCCTACTGTCTGCTACTCGTATAGCTAAGCAACCACCGATGATCCATGAACATACGTGCATGACCGTGTTGCAGTAAAACCTACTTACAATAACAGGTGGCGGGCTCATAGGCTGGCTTTGCTGATCCCTGATTTAAAATAGAGACTTAGTAGCCTTAAAATACATTTAAATTCTGGGCTTTAGGAAGAGTATACTATCAATTCTAGTTTTTGTGAGGGACATTTGCCCAGTATAATTGCAGGTTTAGCACGCTCCTGTTATAATTATGGTAAAAGAGAAGGAATGAAATAGCTCCTTAAGTTTTTAAGTCTAAATTACTGGAATTGTGGTGATATTGGGGAAAAAAAAGAAAGGGCACACTTTGAAGGGATGGTACTGAATTCAAGCATAAAGTGATGTTGACGCCATAGTCTATTAGATGGGAACTCTTAATTAAGAGGGCAGATGAAGATGTAGAATTGATGCTTGGATGAGAACAAGGCTAAAGATAACACTTGGGGGTTGTCAATAACTAAAAAATAGAAATGGCCCCCCTTACAAGAATAGAAGACCTGTAAACTATTCATCAAGGAACACAGTACCAAGGGATCCTTTAAGGATTGTTTGAGGCTTTGGTGCAGCAGTGGGACAGGTATAGCATGTTGGAGTCAGGGAGGACTATAAATCATGCCGGTTCCTCCTCTTTTTATAGGCAAGGGACATGGAGAAGAGACGGTGGTCCAGCTTATACCACAGTGAATCAGAACCCCTATCTCTAAACTCTTTTTTCTTCAAAGGGTTTCCAGGACACTTCAGATGCCTTTCTGGTGGGTTTCAAGAAAGGTTTAATCAGTAACTTGAGATTGGAGTGGCTTGGAGGGAAGAGAGCTTGAAACAGTTAGGTCTTGATTTGAATCTTGGCTCTGCAGCTCAATGACATGACTTTGGGAAGCAATTAAAACTTTCTTAGATTTGTAAAATGGTCATTTTAATACAGAGTTGAACGCTTAGTATAGTTTAATGAAAATGTCTATGTTTGCATATCTGCCACTGTAGACTGTGAGCACCATGACAGGAAAAATGTCTTAATCATACTATGGGGAAATGGAATGGTAGAGCAGCTGGGAATAACAAGATTGCCTCTAAGGCACCGAGGAGAGTACCAAGTGCCTCTTAAGGTTAGGAGATGAGGCTGTTGATAGAGGGGGTAAAATGAGGAAAGCTTACGAAAGGTGTGTAGTAGAGAAGGATATTTGAAATAAGCTTTAGCAAGAATGTTCTTAAATTTGTCCTTTGAGGGATCACTATGGTAGAGTCAATAAGATAAAAGATTGGTAGTGAAGATTATTAAGAGATAAGGGAGATTATTAAGAGATAAGGAAACTGGAGGATAATAGTTGACTTGTTTCAGAATTCTTGGTAGTCAAAGGAAGGATAAGGATTTTTTTTTTAAAGATTTATTCATTTATGCATACAGAACTGGGGTACAGGCCAGAGGTGCAGGGGAGGTGAGAGGATTCACCAGAGACAGAGTGGGGAGCAGAATAGGCAGATCAACAAAGTACACTGCTGAGAGGAGCAGCGGGTGAGACAGGAGAGTTCTGTCATGCCATGTGGGTCAGCTCCCTGGCTGGGGATCTAACTCATATTGCAGTGGCTGCGGACAACTTCATAATGCTGCGCTTTAACTTGTTTCCCCACCAGGGAAGGCCTGAAGGATAGATTACATATCAGTTTTATCTCAATAAAGTGGTAGGGGATAGTAGATACAGCACAGTCACGGAGAGCCATGAGGTCAGGCAGGAGTTGGTTTATGGCAGTTTGTTCAGGTCTTGTTTTTGTGGTGCACGTGATGACTGCAAATCTGAAGGTGACCCTTGTACTCTAACCAGGTGTTCAGCTGTGGTAGAGTTTGGAATTTCTAAAGCCTCACAGTAAGGCTGTATAAATTATAGTTATTTAAAATTACTTTAAATTAAAGGGAAACCATCTCACTGAATATTCACTTCCTTTAAAGTACCTGTTTTTACACTGCACTTACCTGCTTGAGTGGACATGTTGGAGATAAACATTGTCCACAAGGTGGCTGCTCATGTGATGTTTTTGTGATACAATCAGGTGAGAATGCTGTGCTGCTGTGCCAGTGGTAAGCCTGCCTTTCAAAGTTTAAGTAATACTGGCTTACTCTTAAAGAGAGGAGTTCTTAAAAGTGAATTTGAGTGAGATGCTTTATAGAGTTCCTATTTTCCACTAATTTAGTGTAACTTTTAATAAATTCTGAATCTCTTATTATATGTTGCTTTTCTTTTGTGGTAAAAAGGAGAGATTGTTTTTTACTTGAATTATTTCATAGTTTTACACTTATTTCTTAGAAGTGCCTTGACGTATGTCAAGTATGCTTATGATCTACTTTCCCTTCTGCTCTTAATTAATTTCTTTTTGGTCATTATCCCTCTTTTCCCCCTTCCAAATTACAGGTTATCATTTAATATTTCCCTCTGCATTATTTTCAGATCTTTGCCTTCCCACCTAAACATCAGTTATGAGGATTTTTTCTCTGCCCTTCGCCAGTATGCAGCCTGTGAACAACGTCTGGGAAAGTAGTGGTCCCTGGTTGCGTAATCTGATTTCAGGCTTTGGAGAAAAGGACCCAAGTGACTCTGATGTTTACAAAGCACCTGTCAAACCCTGTACACCCCTAGTTCATAATCCTCATAATTTATCAACAAACACAAAAAAGTGTCTTACTTGAGAGTAAGAGTGAGAGAGTGAGTGAATGGGTGTGTGTGTTTGCGTGTGTGTGTGTGTGTAAATAAATTTACAAATGGGGAAGTATTGGAGAATGATATATATATATAGACGGCAACTTTGAGCAAACAGCAGTGTTTTAGGAGCTGAAATTTCAAATTTAAATGCTTCAACCTCAGCCACTTCCCTGTTTTTGTGGGGAGTGATGGAGTGATTAGCACTGTTTAGTTGCTGTTTGGGGCTGGAGGGGATAATTTTGTTCAGCCTTTCTTAGTGACTAGGTGACCAAACTTTAATTTTTAAGAGTAATAAATTGACTTCTTAAAGGGAGCCCTCCTGAGTTTGAGAAATCTCTAGAGGAATGGAGTTTAGTGTTGATCACATGTCAAAAATCTGCTCACCTTTGTAGCAGAGGGAGTGCCTGCTTACAAATACCTGTCCATTTCATTCTTCATTAGAGACAAACATTGTGACTTGAGCGTGTTGCTCTAGTGTCTAGGATTGTGAAGATCATTTGAAAGAGAACTCTGATTACAGATTGAATATTTTTAAAATTAAAATCAACTATTACGCAGTCCCAAAAAATGTGGTTAAGTCCCTAAAGGTAGAAAATTGCCAGAAAAAAGTTTTGATTTCTTTTTTTTTTTTTGGTGGGTGGTGCGTTAGATAGAACCCGAAGTTCTTTAAAAAACATATCCCTTCACTTTTTTGGCTACATATTTGAGGAAATTACCAAGACGGCTGTTTTCCTCAAAAGTAATCTGTTCCTCTTTGGAATTGTACACTTAGGGCCATGTTAGTACCCAGGATTTTTACTCAGTAAGGCCTGATGGTAACTTTGCATAAAAGTTCTTTTAAGGTTGAGGCTTGTGTAGGTAATAAAATACTACCAAAGTCTGCAAATGTAATTTAATTTTATATGTTCTCTTTCATGACAGAGAACAAGCACTGGTTCTGTTATTTTTAAAATGAGTAAATGATGTTTTGATAGGTATTTAATATTTCTTCTGTCACTGTTGATCCTTGGACAGAAAACATTATTTATATTTGATGGACTGTTTTCAGAAAAGTCTTATAACACATGTACAATAGTTATCTAAAATTGTTCATGTAGAATGATGTAATTTAAATACTAGGTCTGAGCTTGAAAAATTGAAAAAGAAGACTGGATTTGGAAAGCAAGGCCTCTGAAATTGCTTGTCAAATTCTGAAGCTGTGAAGAGTAAATGGTTCAACTTTGCATTATAAAACCCCATTTATGATTCTAAAAATACACTTGAAATAAAATGATTAAACTAAATTTTGGTCCAGTGACATTACTTTGCACTACCTATAGTCCTCTGTACATTGTAATTTTTTTTTTTAACTTTAATTTATTGCTGAGAATTTGTGTGAAACTAGAGCATGTCTCTAACCTTTACCAGAGAATTTCTGGTATCTGTTAACCTGTACTGTGCTCCATGTATTGAGACTTTTTGCCTTCTCTTAGGACTAACTTATAAACACAATATAAGTGACTGTAAACATTCTGGGATAAGTATGACTTTCGCATTTCAAATTTAATGGGCCCTATTGAGGTAAAGGGATTTAATGTATGCTAAAGAAGTTAGTGGAGTGAAAAAATGGGTATAGTCACTGTCTCTGAAGATACCTACAGTTAAGCCTTTGTACTTTTATTTTCTCCTTCCATTTCATAGCAATGTAGCATATACACATCTAATTAAATTATAAGTGTGACCTAAGTGTTAAAATCCTAAATATGAGCCCCTTAAGACAAGTTGCTAAGGATTCTGAATTCAAACACAGGTATTCCAGATCATTCTTTTGAGTTACCTGCTATTGTGATTTGTTTAACTTGAATAGCTTTGGACATCCAATAATTTCTGCCAAAATTATTACAAGTTATGCCATCATCAGGGTTCCCTTTGCACTCCCAAGAACTGGTTGTTTTAGAGAAAAATGTCTATATGTTGAAGGATAATACATTGTTTTTCAGTTGTTTCCTCTTGACAATTCCCACAGTGGACAGCTGATCAAAGTAAACCTACTTTAGGGATGGCAGCTTGTAGCATAGCAAGATGTTGGAGGGTAACATCTTCCCAATTCTGGTTGTTTTGTCTCTTAAAACTGATTATTGTTAGGAAATTTGAAAACTAATTATGATGTGAATAACAATTCTGGCATATTGTGTCTAAGAATTAAAATGCCTATTTCCGAGAGAAAGGTGTTAAAATGGTAATGAACAGTGCCAAATACACTGTGCATATCTATAATTTAACCTTTGAATGTATGTTACTTGATTAGCTCTCCTCTGTGTGATGGTATCATGCATAGAGTCAAATCCTTGTGGTGTTCTGTATGGCTGTTGACTTGGAAACATGTAAATAATGTGTAAAGCAAGTTTTTATGATTAAGGAACCAAATTTATAGAATTTTATTATGAACGTTGAAACATGTATGAAAAAACAATAAAAGAATATACTCTTTTCATGGACTGTAGTGTTATGTGAATGCCACATTTATTCTGAATATTTAGGGCCTGCAGAAATGTAGTGAAAAACTCATGACTAGATAGCAATACTATTTTTTAGATGGTATGTACTTGATTGAAATATATCCTCATTTTTACCAGGTTAAACATTTGGTACCTTAACAAATGTTAAGTTGCTTTTACTAGCTAGAAGTGACACTAAAAACTGCCATTGCTAGAATTGCCAAAATTCTATAGTAATTAAAATCTGAATTGGTTTTTACTGAATATAGAATGTCAACAAAAATGTATATACGCATACTCTTTTAAAAAAGAAATTTAACATTTCTTGTTAAACCAGGAAATAGAAGGGTAAAAGCTCTGGTTTGTCTTACGTAGCTGAGTATATACTTTCTAACTTGAATATCTAATTGTAAGATAGCTGGCTTTTTATGCACAATTTTCATCTGAAGTCGAGTTTTTCAAAGGTCATGTTTTTACTTTAATACATTAATAGGAAATGCCTTTAACAAAAATTAGGGTAGGAAAAGTTTAGGACAGTTGGAAATAAAACCCAGATGCAAGATTAATGTCAGCAATTGTACATGAATTCTAGTTGATAGGCCATAAACTAATAAAATTGGTGGGGTAAGGGAGTGCAAAAAGAATTTGTTTCAGGTTAAAAAGAAAAATACACATACTTTGTAGAAAAAATTAAGACAACTCAAGAGCAAAGTAAAGAACTTAGATCATTGTTCATTACATTTTTGGTGACAATCCTAGATTTTTTTTTGTACTTATATTTAAAAAATGAATCCTGTAACAGGTTTAATAAAGATAATTCTTTTTAAACTACAGACTATAAGTTGAGAGTCTTGCATTCTGTTTTGTATTTGGTTATTGTGTTTGGATGTAAATAATAATGTACACGAGAAAATCAAATGCTTGGAAAAGCTTAGTCTACCCTCAGTGAAAACTTAACCTTGGTCTGAATGTTTCAAGTAATTTAATACTCATTTGTCCATCTTGTAGAGATTTAGGGCTGTAAGTTAGTTTTAGTTTATAGATAATAGCAAAAAGTAAAAGTTAGATATACTGCCAGGTCAAACTGTTTGGATTATCTTCTATTGACTATATTCCCCGTCGGTAATAATTCAAGCATAAGAAATCTCATGCTTCAAGTTACCAGTTTCACTCATCCTATAGGTAACCGATTTCTTCGTTAGTCACTTACATTCTTTAAAAGAATTTGTCTTTGGGCCCTCCCTGTGGCATAGCGGGGTAAAGCACAGCACTAAGAAGCTAAAAGCATGTTAGCATGAGTTCGATCCCCACCCAGGAGGTGACCCCCATGGCACTGCAGACCTTCTGACCCTGCCCGCTACTCCTCTCAGCAGTGTACTTCGTCAGCCTGTTCTGTTCCCCACGCTGTCTCTGGTGAATCTGCTCACCGCCCCTGCACCTCTGGCCTATACCCCAATTCTGTACTCATAAATAAATAAATCTTAAAAAAAAAAAAGAATTTGTCTTTATAACAGCAAAAAAGTGGGTTTGGAAAAGGAAAGCCTGAGCAAAATGAGAATATCAAGTGGTAGTAGCTAGTAGCATAGTATATAGAACAATATTTTCATTTGATGAAAAATTGTCTCAATTTCTGTGCCTTTTACTGATTTGGTCTGATAAACCCTGCCTTTATTTGATAAATGTTTTACCAATGTTATTCCTCAGTAACTGTAGATAACAACTGCTTTAAATTTCTTTTATAAGATTTAATGGGGAAGTAAATGAATAATGTGTAATAGTAACTTTTCTCCACGGAGGAACCAATATTTCAATTAGATTTCAGATAATTAGAAAAGGAGTCAGCAAGAAAAGTGGAAGCTACTGGTGTTTGCCAGGATTTACTTGTTCAGTAATCTCAACTGGCAGCACCAAGGCTTTTATTTTTATTTTTTTTTAATACATACTGAGCTGGGGTACAGGTGAGAGGTGCAGGGGCAGGATTCACCAGAGGCAGAGCCGGGAGCAAAACAGGCCGACTGACCGTACACTGCTGATGGGATCAGTGGGCAGGTCAGGAGAGGCCTGCCGCGCCATGTGGGTCACCTCCCTGGCTGGGGCTCAAACGCGGTCAGCTTCACTGTGCCGTGTTCTAACCTGTTGCTCCACGAGGGAGGGCCCACAAGGCTTTTTTTTTTTTTTTTTTTTTTCACAAATTGGGGAAACACTACTTGTATATGGGGAAGAACCCCAAAAAGCCGCTAAAAGTGTTAGAATACACATGATGGATTTTAAGTGGTGCTCGGGCTCAAAATTTTTGCTATAGTATGAATTGGGGAGAACTGTAATAATGGATAGTGCCTAAAATACAGGGTAGTTTATAAAAAGTTAGTTCAGATGTGAATCTACTTAGATCATAGTTTTGAGATGAAAAACATGCATATTTTAATTACATGAAATGCTATTTGTACTCGAGTTTGTTTAGTCACTTTCATATTTATCTGTGACATTTTGAGATACCTACCAGTTTTCCAAAGTCTATCAACTAGTTAAATATATTTGAAATAGAGTAGTTTTTGAAAGTAATGTGCAAGAAATCTCATGCTTCAGTTATCAGTTTCATTCATCCTTTGGTCCTTTAATTTCCACATAGTCATTTATATTGTTCTTTAAAATGATCTTTAAAATTCTTGTAACATGCTGTCTTTGCTTTAAAGTTCCTCTCTTCAAGATAGGACCTAAGTATTTGGTAATTTTTTTGTCTCTTGTTTTTAAATAATATGGTAGCCTTTATTTAGTTCTCTGAAAGCAACACTGATTGAAGTGGTTTCAATCTAATGTGATTTCCTCAAGTATTACCTGCAATTCAAGTAAGTAGAGTGCTCATAAAAGATTTTTCGTTGGCCTGGAGAAAGATGACTTCTGAGAGATAATTATAGAGAAATAAACTTGCTTGTGTCAAGGAGGACATGAGAGATATATATGTACATGTATGTGTATGTATATGTGTATGTGAATATAGTCCTGACGGTTGACTTTGGAGTATACGGTACAATACCAAATATATTCACAAAATTAACAGCAATGCACAAAATATCTCCAGGAAAATGATTTCATTAAATATTAATTTATGTGTTACTTGGAAGCTGAAACTCATTTGTACATAAATATGCATAATATCAAATTGCTTGCAAAATGAGGCCCTACCAGAGGTACTCAGATCTTCAGCTTATGAGATGGAATATAAGACCATCCATGATGCTCAGCATATCAATTGATGCTTTTAATTATTTTGAAAGAAAGAAAATCATGTGTTCCCTAACTGCCTGCTCTTGTGGTCTCAGAAAAAGAAAAGCAAAGTTAACAAAAGGAACATTTGTGCTTTGGAATGTTATGTTTTTGTCAATAATTGAGAAACAAGTATTTTACTCCTTTTTGGCTACTAAACGAGATTCTGTTCAGGAATTCTCTTATCTAATATGTCCAAAAAATTGTGGACCTAAAGACGTGGTAGGTAGGCCCTGTGCAGGAAGCCTCTGTACATTTAGGTATTCTCAACGCCATCACTCTCTATCTCAGAGTATCTCATTTTATTCTAGTTACAACTAATCCTCACATTATACCTCTGATGTAATTTCTTGCTCTTCAGGCTTTTATTTTTTCTATTTTTAGTCTCTGCTAAATTCTTCCCCTCAGTTACAAATGCTCTGTTTTCTGATCTCATATTATGGCCTCTCTTTACTGCTCAAACTCTTGAAAGCTATTAACTACTTATTTTCTTAATCCTTGAAATTCCTGATCTCCATACCCTATTCCTATTTCACTTCTAATTATGATTTACTTAACTTTCTTTCCTATAACCTGATTCCTAGAATTAACCTCACTCAGAGCAGCATTTCCCCACCCCCCTTATTATCTCAAATGTGTTTAACAGTTGGTTTGTTCAAATAAGCAAGGTCAGGCCTGGCTAGTACTTGGAATGGAGTCCAACAGAATCTAAACAAGCTCCATGTATTATTATATTTGGTTGCTGTATCTCTTAAGTCTTGATTTTTTTTTTTTTTTTTTTGCCCCTTGGATTTTATTAAAGCAACTAAATTTATTCCTGCAGTATCATTAATATGCTTCTCTATCCTAGGGTTTCCTGTAAAGTAGTTAGAGCTGGAGGCTTGAGCTTATTCAAGATTTCAGGGTAATCATCATATTCACATATAAAGTGCTCAGTAAATACTTGCTTAATGAATGTCTACTAATGTTTTAAGATCTAACTTTTGCCAGCCTGCTCTAATAAACTACCAGTGTGAAAGCTGCTTATGCCAAATCTAATAGCTTGCTGTAGTTTTACATATCTCATGCTTCTTTATGTTTATCTTCTAGTTTTTAGAATTCTATATTCTTCCTCCTAACTGGGGTTTATGATTCATTTGTTTTCCTAAAAAAACAAATTGTAGGCCCTCCCTGGTGGCGCAGTGGGTTAAAGCACAGCACTGGGAAGATTAAGCCACTTCCGCATGAGCTCGATCCCCGCCTGCCCCGGAGGTGACCACATGGCACGGCAGACCTCTCCTGACACTCCCGCTGCTCCCCTCAGCAGTGTACTTCGTTGATCTGCCTGATCTACTCCCCACTCTGTCTCTGGTGAATCCTCTCACTTCCCAGCTCTCTGGCCTGTTCCCCAGTTCTGTATGAATAAATAAATAAATCTTAAAAAAAAATTGTAGAAAGATATTATTCTCCAATCTGCTTTACTTGTTGAATTTAAAAATCTAAGCAATGGCGATCCTCTTTTATTCCAGCTACTGTGCTAGATATGAGGGAAGAGAGGAAGACTGAGAAAAGACCCCATCTTAGAAGGTATCATGTGAGATTAGTGTTGGCGAAATGAAACACTTTTCCTCAGAGACAACTGAAGGCTTCTTAAGGTCAGGGGACAGACACCTAATAGGTGGTCCCGCACTGTGTTAATGGCGGTTGCAGTTACTTCACCATGCATGTGCTGCCAGAAAGAGTTCAAAGAGCCAGTCTCATCTGTTTAAGAATCTCTTATGGTGAAAGCAGTGGGTACAAGTAAGACATTTCAGAAAGACTCAGAACATAGGAATCACATTGGGTGTTACTGGGATGTGAAATGTGAGGCAGAAAAGAATAGAAGGGAGTCTGGCGAGGGACTCAGACTTGAATGTTGAATTTAAAAACTTGAATCTCACCTTTGTAGGTAATGAATGAAATGGTCAGTATGTAACATTGAAACACTGAACTATAGGAAGAAAAGTTTTGATAGGAACTAGACAGTGATACAGAAAGAATTCTGTACAAGAAAGTCAACCTCTGTTCCTCTGGCATCTCTATCTTTGTTTTTTCAACAATCTCATCTATCTTCATGGCTTCAGCAACCAACTCAAAGACATGACTCTCCATCTATATTTTTGCTCACAATCTACTGAGTTGCAGATGCTTAATTCTACCATTTGCTGAACATCTTAGGGAGGCTTTCTAACTCATGTCTAACTCAAACTAACTTTGTCCTTATCTCAACCGACCATCTGACTTTGCCATATCATCTTAAATCCATCCAGTCATCCTGACTTCAAAATTTCAGTCACATTATTAATAAATATGTATTTGTGCCCAAATTCTCTCAGTTGCCCAATTTTAATTGATTATTCACACCCCAAACTTCTGGCCTTTATTCTGGTCTCTATAGTCTGTTGAATGGTTATCATGCATTCTTACTGAGCTACAGACAGTATCAGTCTTCCAACAATTATTCAACCTTCATTTCCCCATAATTCTACAAAATAT